CTGAGTGCTCCCCGTGAGTGCTCTCCCCGCATGCTCCCTGTGAGTGAGTGCTCTCCCTGAGTGCTCCCCGTGAGTGCTCTCCCCGCATGCTCCCTGTGAGTGAGTGCTCTCCCTGAGTGCTCCCCATGAGTGAGTGCTCTCTTAGTGCTCCCCGTGAGTCAGTGCTTTCCCCGAGTGCTCCCCGTGAGGTTGTGCTCTCCCTGTGCTCCCCGTGAGTCAGTGCTTTCCCCGAGTGCTCCCCGTGAGGTCGTGCTCTCCCTGTATGCTCCCCGTGAGTGAGTGCTCTCCCCGCGTGCTCCCCATGAGTGCTCTCTGAGTGCTCCCCATGAGTGTTCTTCCCGTGTGCTTCCCGTGAGTGCTCTCCCTGTGTCTCCCCGTGAGTGCTCTCCCGAGTGCTCCCTGTAAGTCAGTGCTCTCCCTGCGTTTCCTGCAAGAGTTGGGAGCCGGGCTGCCCAGTCACACGCTCTGGGGTCGTATGTCATGGCCTGAACGCACTACACTCCCCTCAGTGAACACCAGCTCACTGTCTTTGCTGTGAGAGAGCTATAGATTAGATCGAATTACCTACGGTAGTGGATCTCGCTTATGCTAGATCTGATTATGGGACTGTTCTGTTAGTAAGGTAGTACTGACAGTTGAACCTTATTTTGAAAAAGTCTGGTTACACTGTTTGTGTCTGAGAGAGGGTACACACATGACTTTTCCTCCCTGAAGTTCCTTTTTTTTTAAAGAATTATGAAATCTTATTTTTTATTATTATTATTTAATTTGCTATGGAGCATGTGCACTCACCCGAGAGAGAGAGAAAGAGAAAGTGAGAAAGCAAGCTGCCAGGTCCAGGACTCAAACCACTGTAGGTCATGTGGGGGTTCGTTACTGTAACCTCCATGCCACCTGCTGGCCCGACACCTGAAATTCTTCTTGGCAATTAATTTATCTGGCTTTTCATCTTAAGAATTATAATTTGTGGACCAGCAGATGGCATAATGGTTACTTCGCTGGACTCCTACGTTGTTGACCAAGTTTTGAGTCCTGGACCTGGTGGCTTAAACCTGATGCTGGGCGTGTGTGCGTGCGTGCTCAAGATCCTGAGAGGAGAATGGAGGAGAAGGGATTGTGGTGTGGCCATCCTCCCGGGGGGTGATTTCTCCCTTTCTGTCTGTCACTCTCTGTCTCTCTGGTAAGCACATTGCACCCTATAGCAAAAATCTCTCTCAAAAAACATTTTTTTTAATTTGGATATTGTGAAAATAAAAAATATTTTTAAGAAAATACATAGCATAGTTTTCTATTTTAAAATATTCTTCTGTTTTTCATCTACTTGGATATTAATATTTGAAAGATTTGGATGGGAGGAAACTAAGTGAAAGCGATTAAGCAACCTTACTTTCCCCTGAGAAAAACCGACCAGTCTAAAGAGATGAGGATTGGGAGAGACGGGTTTCTTCAGCTGTTCCCGGCGCTGCGGCTAGGGATGCTCACTTGGCTCTTTTTCGACTGGCTTCATTGACCTTGGGTGTTGGCTCCTCCGCTGTCCCCTCTCCACAGCCTGGGACAGCATCCCTCTTGCATGAAGGCCCCATCATTCAGATTGCAGATTCCCATACTTGCTGAGGACACCACCACATTGGAATGCAGTGTATTAGGAGCGCTTGAAAACGCGAGGACTTGGGACCAGCAGTTAGCATAATGGCTATGTCACTGGACTCTCATGTAGTCGACCGCAGTTCGAGTCCTGGACCCGGTGGCTTAAAGCTCACGCCGGGTACGTGTGCGTGTGTGCCCAAGATCCCGAGAGGAGAATGGAGGAGAAGGGATTGCGGGTGACCATCCCCCCTGGGGGGTGATTTCTTGCTTTCTGTCTGTCTCTGTCTGGCGAGCGCACGCGCCCTATAGCGAAAACCTCTCCCTCCGCCAAAAAAAGAGAAAATGTGAGGACCCTCTGGCCAGGACACAGATGAGTGATCCCTCCTCCCGCTGCCTGGCCACGCACTTCCAGCTCCACACGTGGGGAGCAGCTCTGTGCGGGGCTGTGCCGAGAGCCCGAGGGTCTGCCCCTGCGGTCCTGCTGTGACGTCCTGGAGCAGTGACTCTGACGGTGACTGACCACTGCCGGTGTTTACGCTGCACAGTTCAGGGACGCTGGCTGTGCCCATTTATTGCGCCTGGTGACATTTACCCAGTGATTTTTCTTTTTTCTTTTCTCTTGGAACTGGATTGGACATTAGCTAACTCGCAGGGCCATGTAGATCTTTGCGTTTCAGGATTCCAGAATAGGAGCGAAGGTAAGATAGTCTGTGTCCGTTTCCGTGGAGTCCTGGGTGTTGGAAGTCTCCTCTGTGCGGAGTGAGTATTAGTGAGCGTCTTTCCTGGTGGATAGCCAGGTGTGCACTCAGGCTGCTCTGGAGAACGGCCAACTCTGGGTGCTCAGATGCCCACCTGTCTCTCAGCCTTGGCTTCCCTGGGAGGGCGACTTCTCTTGGTTGGCTGTCAGGTGACCTCATCATTGGTCATCCTTTCACTTGTCTCTGAGCAGTCCGTGTCTCCCCGGTAACCCTTAGTGTAGACCGACTGTGGACCTGTGCGTGGGTGTGGAAGGGAGGCAGATGGCAGGCGGAGCGTCCTGGTGGTTCTGAACCACGTCTCTGGAGCCAGACTGCTTTGTTTCAGAGCTGGTCTCCTTGCTCCCGTGGGGCCTTTGGAAAGGCCTATTTTCGTTGTCTTTAAAAATGATAAAAATAGGGACCAGCAGTTGGCGTAATGGTTAGGTTACTGGACTCCCATGAGATCGACCACAGTTCAAATCACAGACCCGGTGGCTTAAAATTCACACCGGGCTCATGTGCATATGTACCCAAAATATGGAGAGGAGAATGGAGGAGACGGGATGGCGGTGTGGCCGTCCCCTGTGGGTGATTTCTCACTCTCTTGTTGAGCGCACACACCCTATAGCAAAAATCTCTCTTTAAAAAAAAAAGAGGTAAACTGTTGAGACCAGGTGGCATAGTGGTTACATTGCCGGACTCCCACATGGCTGGCCGTGGTTTGAGTCCTGGACTCAGTGGCTTGAAAGGCACGTCAGACACATGCACGTGCGTGCCCAAGATCCCATGAGGAGAATGGAGGAGAAGGGACTGCTGTGTGGCATTCCCCCTAGGGGGCGATATCTCACTTTCTCTCTCACTGTCTCTGTTTCTCTCTCTGGCAAGTGTATGCTAAGGCAAAAGCCTCTCAAGAGAAAACTGGGAAAGTATTAGTATCTACTCAATAGGGTTGTTTTGAGAATTGCTTGAGTAAACCGATATGAAGTGCTCGGAGCGGCGTCTGACGTGCAGTACGTGCTCAGTGAGATGAAGGTCGTTACTGTTACAGACCCAGCTCCCGACTCAGACTCCCAGAGCGTGTGTCAGCTGTGCTCTGGACTCTGGGGCTCTAAGAATGGGCAGCCCTGCAGGAGCCTCTCTGAGGAGCGCACACCTGCTCCGCCCACAGACCCAAGGGAACGAGGACTGGCTTTCTCTGCGCATGGAACCTGCCTTCTTGGGTAGGGGGTGGGGGGTGGGGTGGACCCTAGAGAAGAGGAGACTGCACTGCCACCAAGCCCACACACCGTGGCCCTCCGAGGCCTGCCCGGCCTTCTGATAGTGATTTCCAGCACTGCGTCTGCCAGGGCTCCCCCTGCTGGCCCATGCGGCCTGGGTGCAAGTCTGTGGAATATCGGCTTTTGAAATTCAGTTTGGGAGCTTTGGGGTATTTGCATAAAAGTGCATTTGAAGACTTTGTGTGTTTGTGAGTTGGGACATTTCTAGGTCTGATTACTTTTTTTAGTTTGGTTTCCAATAGTGTGCTGTTTGCATTTCACATCACGGCTATCCGGGACTGTTGCCTGCGTTTTATACTCCAATACGTGTGCTCAACAGCTCAGCATCTGTGACAGTCTGAAGTGAAGAATGTTCATGACCCAGGGACGGAATTAAATCTTAGCAGCTCGACAGTCGTAGCCCAGACCCTGGGGACATTGCCAAGTAGAGGGTTTAGTGTGTGTCAGAAGAGAGGTACCTCAGACTTGCTGGGTGATTCGTTATTTATTTGAAGCTATAATTTGTCGAGATAAAGTGGCATGGTGTCCCCCAAATTGCGTTTTAAATAACTTGTGTTCTCGTTCCCTCTTGTCACTCTGTCTCCTCTCTCCCTCCGCCTTCCCTGCCCTCCTCCTCCTTTGCTCCTAGGGTTAAACAGCGTAAATCAGATAACTGCGAACGTGGAAAATGGAGACCACGAAGGAACGGCTAAAGTCCTTGCACCCTCCCCGATGAAAAGGTCAGTGCGGCTAACGGAGCAGAGCCCAAGGGCGTGCTGTCGTGAAGGCGCGCTTCCCGTCGGCAAGGTTAAGACTCTTTGACTTGGATAATTGAGGAGAACTTATCTGAGGGTTCCAGTGGGCGGTCTCGGGGCCACCGGGTACTGCAGAGTGCCGGCGAGCTCTGCCACCCCAGGGCATGCCTCTCATTTGAAGCGAGTGTGTCTGCCGGCTCGGCATGGTGACCACAGTCTGTCGCCGCGTCCTGGCAGCAGTGTGAAAGGTCCTTGTGATGTTCCAAGGGGCTTGGGAGACAGAGTAGAAGGCTTTCACGTTTAACGCCCTGTGCTCACTACAGAGACGCACTGACCTGTGACCCTGGGAGGAGGGCTGAGGCTGTGGCGGGGTCGCCGTCTCGGGAGTCAGGCATGGCCTCCGTATCAGTTTCCCCAGCGGCAGTCCCGCGTGGAAAACCTCCTCTTTCTGTATTACAGAATCGCTTCCTCGAGAGGTCAGCCTCGTTCTCTGTGGAGACACTGTCTCAGGGTCGCTTCTGCCTGTCCCCATGTAGACACATCAGCCCAGCTCGCTGCACGGAGGCCCGTGTACACGGCGTCCTCAGGGAGACGCCTACACGCAGACGGGCAGCCTGCACAGGCTTCTCTAGTCATCCTCTCGCTCATCTCTTAGCAAATAACGGCATCTTATTCAGCCGGATTGTGGCATCTTTGAAGAATGTAGTTTGTGATTTCCCAGCGAGAGCCCTGACTCGCGGGGGTCTCAGGATGGGGACGCTCCCCCAGCGTTAGGCCGACCTCCTTAGTCCAGCTCCAGCACGTCTGCCTCACGGGCTCTCTCTCGGAAAAGGCGAGCCCTTGCCCTGGACAGGCGCAGGTGCCTGTCCCCGAGCCCGCTGGCCGCGTGCACAGTGTCGTCTGTGCAGGGTGCCCGCAGGGAGAGCGTCTGAGATGAGCTCCGAGCCCTCCAGAGCGCAGAGGCCCAGTCCCCGTGGCCGCCACGCTCCTGCTGATGGGGGTTACCGAAGGCTGTCGAACGCCCACTCGGCCTGGATGAGAAGTGGTTTCGGGAGTGGCGGCAGTTAACGTGCCACCGGATTTCACCATTCTTTACTTTTCAACGGCTCTTTCCATTTTAATTCTCAAGCTTCCTTTTTTTTTTTTATAAGAGATTTTTGCCAGAGGGCACATGCACTCTCTAGAAAGACAGAAAGAGAAAGAAAGAGAGAAAGTGAGAAATTATCCCCAAGGGGGGATGGCCGACCCACAACCCCTTCTCCCCTCAGAATCTTGGGCACGCATGCACCTGCGCCGCATGTGGTTTTCAAGCTGCAGGGTCTGGGACTCAGACCGCGGTCAGCCGTGTGGGATCCAGCCCCCTGCTGGCCCCCTCAGTTTCCCTTCGTTTTTCTCACTTTTTCTTTGTGATTTGTTAGACACATGCTTGGTATAGTTATACTAAAGATCCACCATATTTATTATTTTTCCTCATTTTAAAAGGTAAGCTTTTACTTGGGGAGCTTGACCTTGAGAAGATTTTTTTAACTTTTATTAAAATAGTTTCTTGTTCATATTTGAAGCCCACCTCCTGAGGCCATGGGTTATATTCCTTTGTCAGATGCATGATCTCATAGGTGTGTCCTGCTAGACATTAACATGTCGGGTACACGTTTATTTCATGTCTTTCTGAAATGACCCATGGTTCTCCTCTCTGATCTTCATTGTGAAGAACTCTGCAATGACCATATTCCAGGACAGGTCTAGAGAGGGTTCCTCCGAAGGCCAGGACTGTAAGTGGCTTAGGAGTTAAGCAGTGCGCGCTCTCTCTCTCTCTCTCTCTGAAGCTAAGACTGCCGAGGAAGTGAGACAGGACACACCCCCTCTCCCATTGTGACCGTGGGCTGCAGTGGATCCCTTCCTCTGTCTCCCGGTGTGCTTCTATAATGATGTGTTGGGATCGAGTAATAACCCAGCTGTGTTTACACTAGGCAGGAAGGTGATACTAGGTCAGGAAGTAGCATCTGAAAGTCACTCTGCCTTGGAAGCATAAAGCCACTACATGGCGGAAGCTGGGAAAGGCCGGCTCAGGTGTCAGGAATCTGCCAGGGCCGGCCGACCTGCCCTGCTCAGCGCAGGGGCCAGAGCTGGTCCATGGCCACTGCCGTGTGGAGGGAGCCTGGCTGCCCTTCTCCTCGGCCTGGCTCTGTCCTTGGCGGGAGGTTGCCCTGGTGTGCTAGCCTGCGGACTCCGGAATGATCCCTAACAGTCAGGGACCTGGTTTCTGTGGCTGGCAGTGTCTAGAACCAGCAGGGGGAGGGAGGGGACCCACAGGCACTTGCTGGGTCTTTTGGACCTCACGTTCATCGCGGAATGGTTGTGGGCATAGATACATACTCACACATTTCCACATTCATTGCATCGTCTTACTGAAGCGTGTGAGTTAACTTTCTTTTATTTTCTAGCTAATGAGTTTTCCATGCTTTTTTTGTTTTTTCAATTAAAGCTTTAAGAAAGCAAAGAATGAAAACAGCCCTGATACCCAAAGAAGCAAATCTCACGCGCCGTGGGAAGAGAACGGCCCCCAGAGGTAAGGACTGTGCTGTAGGAAGCCGAGCAGGAGAGGGCCGGCAGGTGCAGCTCGGTGAACAGAGGGGTCTGCGGCTGCGGGGCTGCGGGCTGGCAGAGAAGAGGCCGGCCCTGGACCAGCGTGACTGGGGCCTTTCTGAAGAGGAAGTCAATGGGCATTTCTTACTGGAGGCTTTTTCCTGGAAGGGCACAAGGGAAAACTCGCGTGTGTAGGGAGTCACCTGAAGTGCTACTGCGGCAGTGTAGGCTGTGAGAATAGTCTCTGAAAATGCAGAAATGACCTGTTTCCAGTCATGGCATCCATCCTGTAGTTCTTATAAAAACCGTATTCGAAATGATAGCTGGGAAAGTGCTGCTCAAAGACCTCTATTCCTAAAAACTAAGCACATCGTGAGTCGCTGCCGTTCCCAACTATTAATAGCGACCCGGTGGCAGGCCTCACCGCAGCTGCCTGGCTGTGCAGCCATGGGGTTCCAGATGCGACTCTTCAGGGGTTCAAGTTCCAGCTCTGCTGCCTCCTACCACTTTACTCCAGCTTTTTAATTAAGTATTCCGTATTTCCATCATTTTTTTCCTGTTAATTGAATCTAATAATTTTACTTCAGTGCTGAGGGTTGCTGTGAAGATTTTTCTTTCTTTCTTTTTTTAAATTTGTTACAGGGCACATATGTACACAGAAAGAGAAAATGAGAAGTAACCCCCAGGGGATGGCCATGCCTAGTCCCTTCTCTATTCTCCTGTCAGGATTTTGGGCATACACAGGCTTGGCGTGTTTTTTTTTCTCCTGTCAGGATTTTGGGCATACACAGGCCTGGCGTGTGTTTTTAAGTTGTTTTTTTTTTTTTTGGGGAGGGTTTTGGTTTGTTTGTTTTTTTGTTTGCCATAGGGTGCGTGCGCACACCAGACAGACAGAGAGAGACAGAGAGACAGAAAGCAAGAAATCACCCCCTGGGGGAATGGCCACGCCACAATCCCTTCTCCTTTCTCCACTCGGGATTTTCGGCATGCACACACATGTGGCCAGCATGTTTAAGCCACTGAGGCCGGAACTGCGGTCAACTGCATGGGAGTCCAGCAACATAGCATTAGGCGAACTGCTGGTCCCTCCAGGCCTGGCGTGTTTTTCAAGCCCAACTTAAAGGTGGAGTGGTGGTGAAGATGGCTGGATCCCACATGGCCAACCAAGCAGCTCATACCCCAAACCTGGTAGCTTAAGAAACATGCTGAGTGTGGGCCAACAGGTGGCGTAGTGGTTAAGGTGCTGAATTCCTACATGGCTGACTACTGTTCGAGTCCTGGACCCAGAGGCTTGAAACTCACTCGGGGTGCGTGTGCACATGTGCCCCAAATGCCATGAGAAGAATGGAGGAGAAGGGATTGGGGGGTGGCTACCCCCAGTTTCTCAGTTTCTTTCTTTCACTCATTATCTCCAGGGAGCTCATGGGCCCTAGAGCAAAAATTTTTCTCAAAACAAAATAAAACATGCTTGGTGTGTGTGCGTGTGCACCCAAACTCTAAGAAGGAGAGTGGAGGAGAAGGGATTGTGGCGTGGGCATCCTCCCAGGGGATGATTTCTCACTTTCCCTTTCTCTGTCTCTCCCTGTGGAGCACACATACTCTGGCAAAACAAACAAACAAACAAAAATCCAAAACAAAATCCTTAGTCAGTGTGTAGCATGTGATAGTTTCATCGTTAAGTATGAATTCTTGGTATCATTCATGTGGATTCTTTTCTTTTTCCTTTTTTTTTGGGGGGGGGAGAGGGTTTTTTGCTATAGGGCATGTGCGCTCACCAGAAGGAGAGAGACAGAGAGACAGAAAGCGAGAAATCACCCCCCAGGAGGGATGGCCACACCGCAATCCCTTCTCCTCTATTCTCCTCTCAGGATCTTGGGCACGCATGCACACACGCCTGGGAGAGTTTAAGCCACCCAGTCTGGGACTCAAACTGCAGTTGACAACGTGGTAATCCAGCGACATAGCCATTACACCAACTGCTGGTCCCCCATGTGTGTTCTTTTCTTACTGTTGAAGGCCAATGAGACAAACAAACCTTTACTGCAATATAGACTTTTCTGGTCTGATTCGCTATAACTTACCTCCCTTTTCTTTCCATAAATGTTGCCGGCACAGAGAACCATGGGTCCGCGTTTCCCCGAGAACCCCCGTGCAGTTGTGAATGGGCCGAGATGTGCGTTGGGGACTTTGCCCCCTGCACCCCCGGGCACTCACTGACCATGCCTCTTTCTCCCCAGTGGCCTCTACAACTCCCCCAATGACCGCACAAAGTCACCAAAGTTCCCCTACACACGTCGCCGAAACCCCTCCTGCGGCAGCGACGACTCCGTGCAGCCGGTGAGGAGAAGGTGAGCTGGATGCAGCCCTCCGTGGCGCTGGGGCCCAGGCCTGTTTTATAGCGGGGTTCTCGTCATACTGTCACTGTTGGTCCAGCCCGCAGAGCAGGATGTGTCTTCTTTTTGATATACAGAAAGCCAGATCCTGAAGCATTTAGAGAATGGCCAGGGTTTAGAGAATCATTTCATGTAGTATTGATAGGAGCTTGCTTTCTGTGTTTTAATTGACAAGTTATAAAATATGTGTATAACGGATACTAACAATACATACCATGTAGCGTGCTATTCCATAGCATAGTGGTGTACATTGCTATTATAAAACGATAGAATATGTGAAACATTTTTACCTGGCGACAAAACCACATTTAAAGATAAGCCTTCTTGGCTGGGGCTGAGGGCCCTGCTGTCCAGACTGTTGTTGTTGAGAAGTTGGAGTCAAACCCCTTCAGAGCGGGCCAGCGGGTGGCATGGAGGTTGAGGTGCAGGATCCCATGTGGCCAGCTGTGGTTCCGATCCCAGATGCGGCAGCTTGAAAGTCACACTGAGTGCGTATGTATGCACGCCCAGAATCCCAAGAGGAGACTAGAGGAGAAAGAACTGCAGTGTGGCCGTCCCCCCAGGGGGTGATTTCTCACTTTTTCTCTCTTTCTGGAGAGTGCACAAGCCCTGTAGCAAAACTTAAACCAAACCTAACCAAATCCCTTGCAAAGCACAGAGAAAATGAAGCCTGTTACACTTCCCTAGCAGGTCAGAGTGTTCATGTGATTATACTCGTGTATGTATGCTTCAGTTTTTAAAGAGTTCTCTTGCAGTGGCCAGCAGGCGGCACAGTGATTAAAGCTAGACTCCCACATGGCTGACCGTAGTTTGAGTCCTGGGCCTGGCAGCTTGAAAATCATGCCGAGGGCCTGTGTACGATTGCCCAAAATCCCCGGAGGAAAATGGAGGAGAAGGGATTGCAGTGTGGCCATCCCCTCTCACTGTCTCTGTCCACCCAGCACCCTAACCACTATGCCACCTGTGCCCCATGGTCTGATCTTTAAACCTGAACTAGTAGTGCATTTTGTCAGTCCTCCTTAAGTAAAGTAATTGCATGTGTTGAGCAGATAGTCATTTTTATTTCAATGCATTTATCAAGTTTCTCTAAAGTATACCAAAGTTTACATTTTCCCCCAAACTAATTGTTTGAAATAGCTGGAAGCATGTACACCCCAAATCCAGACTTACTGACTTCTCTGCCACATTTTCTTCTGGCGTCCCTGTGAAGCTCAGAACTGGGGACGGAGGGTCCAGGGTTCTCTCAATGGCACGGTGCAGGGAAAGGCGATTTTAGCTTGCCGGGAAGAGGACCCTTTCCCCTAAGCAGCGACAGAGCCTGCTGTCCGGGTCTGTCTTTACTGGGCACGTGTGTTCTGAGCAGACCAGCCCTTGCTGCGTGCTGTCATGGAGGGGCTGAGGCGTGTTCTTGTTTGCTCCCTGCAAATATCCCTGCCCTGGCCGGTCTCCTCCTGTTTTTATACACGTTTACCTGCCCCTGGCACAGATCCCTGCACTCCTGGATTGACTCTGGCATGTAAACCAAACGTTGTCATCACCTCAAGGACTCAAATTGAATGACAGGGAATTCTCTGCAGCTGTGGAGGCCAGGATAAGGTATTTGGCAAAAGATAGCAACGTTTCCTCTTTTGCCAGTTACTTGTCAGGAGCTGGATACAAGCTATGTAACTCTGGCCAAGCCTAGAACAGTGGTCCTTAATGTTCTTGGAATCCCCTGAACACCTCATCAAATGCTGGATCGATTCCCTAGGGGAATAAAGGTACACTTTAAAATCCATTTAAACATTCCCATGTCATTTTCAAGGTTCATGGAGACCCTGAAACTTGCTTGTGTAAACATTTCTACTCTGCAAGGAGAAAGCCAGCGTGTTTTCTAGCAGTGCAGTGTATTTTTGCCCTGCAGCGTCTCTCTCTGCTGAAGACCGTTCTGGAGTGCCTGCTGTGTGCCGGGTGGTGTGTTACACAGCAGGAGGCGGGTTAGGACAGAAGTACAGGAGGCATACCAGTATGGACAGGGACAGCTGGACTGTCAGAGGGTACATACAGAAGGTGATGAGGTGCTTAGGGCAATTTTTTTTTTTTTTTTGGAGAGGTTTTTGCTATTGGGCGTGTGCACTCGCCAGACAGACAGAGACAGAGAGAGACAGACAGAAAGCAGGAAATCACCCCCCAGGGGGGATGGCCACGCCGCAATCCCTTCTCCTCCATTCTCCTCTCGGGATCTTGGGCACGCACGCACACGCGCCCAGCGTGAGTTTTAAGCCACCGGGTCCAGGACTCGAACCGTGGTCGACTACGTGGGAGTCCAGCAACATAGCCATTACGCTAACTGCTGGTCCCCTTGGGGCAATTTTTAAAAAATCTTTTTTATTGATACTTAGCGTGCAAGTAAAAAGTACACGTATGTTAAGTTTAGCTGCTCGATAGGTTTTTACAAACCAAACTCCTGTGTATCTGGCAGTATTCTGGGAAATGTGCCGAATGACTGAGCCGAGGAGGTTTTCTGTATAAGCCGGGGTCTGCGGCAAAGCAGACGAGCAGACCCACTCCAGGTGCAGGGAGCGTGTGCAGACCTTGGGACGGAAAGGGGACGGAGTACACTGATGGAGAGAGGGCAGGCCAGTGGGGTTCAGGCTCTGAGAATGGACTGAACCGTCAGGACGGAGCCTGGAGGGAGCTGGCGCCAGACCCGAACGCCCACGTGAGATTTGTTCAGGCTTTTGTTCTGTAGACTGATGGTTTTTTCCAAGGGATCTCATTCGTGTTGGGTCAGGTGAGCCTTGCAGTCCATGGAGAAATGGGGAAAGAGGCTGGCTGTGGATGTGGACAGAGCAGGCAGAAGGCCGTATTAGGAGTCTCAGTGGTGGGGACAGAGTTGGACCAAGCAGCGATGTGGAGGCAGGAGAAGTGGGTGGTTTCGAGAGTTGTCGGGGGTCTCAGCAGGACTGGAAGGGGCCAAGGAGGCCAGTGTCAGGAAGGAGACCCGGGCGTACCCAGCTGTGTGAGCTCAGGGGCCATGCAGGCTCACAGGGAGCTGCAGCACATCCCAGGCCTCCCAGCTGCACTCCAAGTTCTTCCTGGGATACTGGGTCCGTGGAACTCCCACGAAGTCCAGAGGCAGGATTCACGTGGTTTTTTGGATATCAATCAGGGGCTAGACTAGCTGTCCGCCTGAATATAAATGTCTTAGATATTAGAAATACACCATAGTGATAAGATGGTCTGTTAGTACAGATAGAAGACAAAGCCGGTGAGAGCTGTGAGGAACTCCAGCCTTTGGTGGTCTGGTTGGAGAAGATTAGCTGGTAAAGGAGGCCCAGAAATTACAGACATGGTAAAAATCAAGAGAAATGCAAATCCGTTGATCGCACAGTGCTAAACACCGCACTTATGTATCCTGGGCGTGGTACTAGAGAGCCCTGATGTGAGAAACGGACAGGTGTGGGCCAGCAGCTGGCCTGGTGGTTAATGCTCTGGATCCCACATGGCTGACTCTGAGGTTCGAGGCCCAGACCTGGTGGCCTGAACAATATCCCAGTGCGTGTGTGTGCATGCCCAGAACCTTGACAGGAGAATGGAGGAACAGGGTCTGTGGTGACCCTTCCCCCTGGGGGATGCTTTCTCACTTTATCTCTCTTTCTCTCTCTCCAAGGAGTGCATGCAGCTGATAGCGAAAAATGTAAAACAAACAAACAAGCAGACAGTATGTTCAGCTGTGCAGTTTGAGTCCTGGACCCAGTGGCTTGAAAAACATGCCAGGTGCATGTACACATGTGCCCAAAATCCCGAGAGGAGAACGGAGGAGAAGGGATTGTGGTGTGGCCGTCACGATCACCCTGGGGATGATTGCTCACTGTTTCTGTTCGGGTATCCCTGTGTGTGTGTGTGTCTTTCTCACTCTCTCTCTCTCTCTCTTCAGTGAGCACACACATTCTGTAGCAAACTTGAAAAAAAAAAAGAGTTGGTGAATAAGAGGTCTTAGAGTTTAGTGTACAGAATTTAAACTAGTCAAAAGGAAGTTTGGAAAACAAACTTGAGATCTTCCCCAAAATAGGACAACAGCAGCAGCAGAAACAAATATATGGAAATAAGGATAATAAAATTATTTAGTATTCAATTAATAAAATTTCTTTCTTTTCTTTTTTTTTTTTTTTTGGAGGGGGTTTTGCTATAGGGCACGTGCACTTGCCAGAAAGAAAGAGAGACAGAAAGAGAGGGGGGGATGGCCACGCCACAATCCCTTCTCCTCCATTCTCCTCTTGGGATCTTGGGCACACATGCACACATGCCCGGCGTGAGTTTAAGCCACGGGGTCGGGGACTCAAACCGCAGTCGACTACATGGGAGTCCAGCGATGCAGCCATTACGCCAACTGCTGGTTCCTCAATTAGTGAAATTTCTACGGAAGAAAAAGAACAGAAGAAAATATAGGAAACTATTAAAGAAGCAGTACAAGAATATACCGTAGAACTAAAGGGTGTGATTTCCATAGAGAAGAGCCCAGTGAGTTTTGGTGTACCAGGCTGAGAAGTTCGATCTGTACCAGAGTGTGTCCCCTTTACATTTCAGAGCAGTACAGTCTAAGGGGGTTTTAAAGACTTGAGTAGGAGGGGGATAAAGGATAGGGGAAAATACCCATGCACAAACAGTGACCACTCAGAACGCATTGGGTCACTTGACGGCAGTACTGGAGAAAGAAGACACGGTCCTGAGAGATTATTTTAAATTTAGAGTTCGAGATCAGCTGAACTATTATATGTCTAGAGTAAAGGCATTTTCAGAAATGTGATGTCTGAAACACACACACACACGCCCGCCATGCAGATTTATGTGTGTGTGTGTATTTATTATATAGCAAATATGTGTACAGGTGTGTGTGTGCGCATAGCAAATACATATATACACACGTGTACCTGCCATGCAGACTCTTTATTAATAGCTGGAAGATATGCTTCCTCGAACCAAGACAAACCACAGTTCCCAGAAACGTGGGCCCAAAGGCGTGCCCTGGACGGTGGGGAAGGGGTTAGTCAGAATGCCACCTGTGTAGCCGGGAGGGCAGAGGGCACCGGGCTCCGAGAGGGACGTGAGTGGCCTCGCGATCACTCGAGCACCCACGCGTGCCGGGGAGTTCAGCGGCCCTCAGGGCTTGGGCGAGGAGTTAGCGCCACGTCAGAGAACCGCGTAAGTGAAACGTGTGTGGCAAAGCAGGCAGTCGTCCTCAGGAGATTAAGCACCTACCGAAGAAAGGAGCGGTGGACCTGGAACATGGTTGAGATCATCTGGGAGCTGTGCTCCCGTAATTGTGTTAGTGCCAGCCACTCCGAATGTGATGTAAGTATCGAGACCACACGCTGACGTGGTGGCCTCTGAGAACCACGTCCGCCCCAACTGGAGTGGGTCGGCACGGGTGGTGGACGTAGGGGAGGGGAGGGAGCATGGGGCACAGGCTGGCTCTCAGGACGTTCGGCTCTGACGGAGACAGGGCCGGAGATGTGCAGGTGGAGGTAGGGGTGTTTAGGGAGCGCAGCCCTGACGGTGTTGAAGCTGATGAAGGAGCTTGGCAGGAGGGCAAGTGGAGCATCCGTGAGAAGGGGCCAGGCGGCTAGGGGGAGGCCCCGAGGCC